ACAATTTAGCACATTTCTGTAGATTCTCTTACATTTGGCACTTTGGCAGATCAGTGATTTCATTAGTGTATCCCCTTCCAGCAAATTCTTCATGCTGCCTTATGCAATAAAAGTTATGCCCATGTTTTCCATAAATTTTCCATAAAATGAAGGCCTTCCTTTTCTCATAAAATGATGTTCTTCTTTTTGGCATCTTCCTAGCCATCTCTACACTATGCGGTGACTACTTGGACCATCCTCTCCACCTCTGAAATTTTAAGCTCTACCCTTGGGAGTTCACTGGACTCTGATAAGCCTTTTCTGAACTTAACTTGCTCAGATCCATGCCTCCACAGGATATGTTCAGGGCATTTCTGTGATATTTCCCCAGGTATTTGTTCCCTTCCTCTTCCTCTCAACTTTCTAGCTCCATGTTGTATATTGTTTTTCCCCTTAAGAATGTAAGCCCCTTGAGGTCAGCACTGTTTTCACTTGCTTGGATTTATTGCCAACACTTAGCAAAACTACCGACACATAGTAAATCCTTAATAAATGATCTATCTATATATCTGTCTGTATGTATGTCTATCGTCTATCTCTTGCTCTTTTTGTAACTTTTGGGAGTGTTACTAATGTCTATCTATTCACTTCATTTTTATTATATATATGGCCTAATTCCTTTTCTGTTCATCCATAATCGTAATACATATCGTATACTGCCTCACACATGAAAATCTTATTGAATAACATATTGGATCTTGCTTAAGCCTAACATGAATTTTTTCCCATCCTCTTTGAGGCTACTTATAATATTCTCCAGAAACTATAGTGTTCCATAATTTACATCATGTAGCAACAAAAAGAAATTATTTGTATTTTTGTATGAGATATGCTTTGTAGTGGTAAGTATTTAGAGAACAATGGTTTCTCAAATGTAGCCTGGCTTAATGTCTTCCTACTATTCAGTTTGAGGCCTAGCTTACTATCCACATAAAACATTCCAGTTAATGAATAAAGATTTGTTAAGTATCTACTACATTCCAGGCACTTTACTAAGTGTGGGGGATACAGAAAAAAAAGGAAAAAGACAGTCCCTCCCCTCAGGGAGATTACAATCTAATGGGGGAAACAACATGAAAATAAATATATACAATGCAAGCTATATACAGGATAAATAGGAGATGATTAACAGAAGGAAGGCACTGGAATTGGGCTTGGGGAAGGTTTCCTATAGAATGTGGGATTTTAGTTGGGAAGTCAAGGAGGTCAGTAGTTGGAGTGAAGGGGAGAGAGCATTCTAGCTATGGGGCACAGCCAGAGAAAATACCTGCAGCTGAAAGGTGGAGTGTCTTGTTCATGGAACAGACAGGAGGCTAGTGTCACAGGACTGATGAGTACGTGTCAGGGAGTATAGTGGAAGAAGATTGGAAAGACAGCATGGAGCTAGATTATAAAGAACTTTGAGCAATAAAGTATTTTGTATGTGCATTTGATCCTGGGGTTTTTTGAGTAGGAGGGTGACATGACTGGGATTCTCACTTTACGAAAATCATGTTAGTGGTTGAATGGAGGATGGGTTGGGAATAAGGAGAGACTTGAGGTTAACAGACCTACCAGCAAGCTACATCACCTGGGATCAGGTGGTGAGGGCCTGTACTGGAGTGGTGGCAGTGTCAGAGGAGAGAAGGGGGATGTTGAAGCATGAAATCAAAAGGCCTTGGCAACAGATTGAATATAGAAGATTATAGATAATGGGAAATCAAGGATGACTTCTAGGTTTCAAGCCTGAGAGTCTGAGAGGATGGTGGTGTTGCCCTCTACAGTAAAATATAAGGTGGGAGTGATGGAAAGCTCGGGAAGAAAGATAATTAGTAAGACTGTAGGCCAGCAGAGGCAGATATACATATTCTGTATATATTGATATACATTAATATTTACAGCTATATCAATATATTTCCATCTATCATTTATCTATCATCTGTTTATCTATATCTTCCATCATCATACTACCACTTCTTATTAAATGACTTCATACTGAGCTTACCCTTGGTTTCCATGACTCTCACCTTTACAAAAAAATAAGCAGTGTTTGATCATAATGTCAGTGCCTAGTTTCTTTTGACCTCCTTGTTGAAGCAATTATTTAGCAACAAAATTCTCATGCAAATAGTGATACTTAAAGTCATTGCATTTACTTTTGTCCATTTCCATTTTTTCGTCAATATTTTGTTTAAGCAGATTAGCTTGAAACTGATATAATGATATCTTACTCTATTTAACCTTGCTTCTTATTTCCAATTTACTTTGACCTTTGTTTTAATCAATCAATGGGCTGCATGCACATAGAGTGCTTATTCGGAAATAAAAGCTTTTTCTTTGACCAGTTATTTCCTGTTATAATATAGTCAATTGAATTTTTTTTATCATGTTATTTGATGTTTTTTATGATTTCCCATTTCTTGAAGAAAGTATTCATGATGTCCACAAGTATAGGGCTTCTGAGGAACAGCTAGCCTTTTGGTAGCTTTCATTCTTGGATCCTGAACCATATTTTCTAACAAAATTTTCATCATCCTTCTTTGTGTCAGCTTTTTGCTAGTGTCCCTATGTATACTCATGGTATACATAATTAAATTAAGTATGCCTAATTTAACTTGAAGTATTTTATCAAGTTCATAATAGAATTTCTCTACTTCACTTTTTTTAAGATTCTGTCAGTATTTTCTTCTGTTTGATATTCTTATCATTACCATTTCAAGGCAAAATGGCCAAGTATCACATGAGATTATATTTTCTGTTGCTCTTGAGCTCAAAATGAAACCAATACTGCCAATATCTATATTTGCTTCTCCATGGAGAACACACAAAACACCTGCCCACTTTTTTTTAGTTTTTGTCCATTTCATGAGTCGAAGTGTTTCCCCCCAAATCATTATGTGGTTTCCAACTTTCTGTTGATGAATCTCTATGCATTTAGCAAGTCTGGGTCTCAGCCATCAGAAAGTTTATCACTAGGACTGTGTGGAATTCCTTTAACAGGACACCTTAGTTTATGTTTTATTTGGATAGTTTTTTGTCTCCATTCCCTTGTATGATACCTGAATTAATACTTTAGTAGGTAAATGATATGTTAAAATAAAATATGCATTAATCTTACATAAGTTAATGCACCCTTGAATATTTGAAATACTTCTCTGCATAAGAGGGAAATTACTTTTCCACATTGTTTCAGAAGGCAGGACCAGGATAGCTGGGTAGAAAGAAGGAGTTCAACAAACAAAGGTTGTTTGTCTTTTTTGAATGATTTTGAATGATTAGAAATATCCAACAATGCAATGATGACTTGTATGTCTGGAGGTTTAGATGATTCGAGATGACATATAGATATGAGTCTTGATTTGAATAAAGATTGAGCTAGATTGCCTCTGAGTTTCCTGATAATTATATAATTTTATATAGTATATACTGTGACTGTTACAAGTGGAGGCTCAATGGCTATCTCTAATGATCAGTTTGCAGTTTGCAAACTTCTAAATACCATAGACATGCTAGTAATGATTACCACTACCACTATCATCACCATCACCACCACCACTACTACTACCACTATTACTACCACCACTACCACTACCATTACCTATACCACCACTACTACTACCCCTACCACTACCTGTACCACCTACACTACCATTACTATACCACTACTATACCTACTACCTGTACCACTACCACTACTATTACTGCTACTACTCTTACTCTTCCTCCTCTTCCTACTTGTTACTGTTGTTGTTGTTATCACTTACAAAGACTACACTACACCACAACAGATGCTTGTGTTAGATAGAACTTTGAACTAGATAACTGCCAAAGTCATTTCCAATTAAAAGTTTCCAACACTTGAAGACCATGTCCTTCTTTAGTGTTTTCTTCCCTAGCCTAAATATGTCTACTTCCTTGAACTATACTTTATTTTACATGGTTTCTATGCTAGATACTATGTCTAGATACCTCTGGAATGTCAACACTTCTATTAAAATGTAAGTCTTTATACTGAACACACACACATGTAACTATATATATACACACACACATATATATACACACATATATGTGATATATGCATATATTATAGGCAATATTATAAAATGTCATATATTAGTATAAATTATTATAATAATTATGTTATACTGTATGGACATAGAGTTTATGCATTATATAGAATAGATTGTATGTATGTGTGTATATGTGTATATCTTTATAGTAAGCCTAGTTTGTGATACTATTCTATGATAAGAATAACCATAAGAAAGATCTATTATTCTTATTTTAAATTTCTCTTACACCCCAAATCCAAGTTTTGGTAGCAAGTATTACTAACCTTTAGGCAAAATACCTGAAATTCCATCATTACATCATCCATATCCAATAAGCCTTTTGTGTACACAGAGTATATAAATCATTATTTCAAGAAAGGGCAAGGACTGCTTTAAATTTAGAAATGTACCCCACCCTTTGCTGCCCCCAATGGGTTCTTTTTTTTTTTACTAGCAGTATACTGTTTCAGATCTGCTTTATCCCTAGTATTCAGACTTTATTTATAATTAAGAGATCATAGTGGAATTTATAATTACAAGTGAATTAGATCATTCCTGGTGTTGGTGCAAGTTTATGTTATTCTACTTGGGAAACAATTTAGCCATCGAAGGAAGAAAGGGATGAGTTCTACATTATCACTGAAAATGAGTAAAAGTTAATTTAACTTAACATTCTGAGGTCAAAGAATATGGCTAGAGCAGGAAGTGTAAACAATAGTGACAGAAAAAAAATGAGAATATTGCCAGAAAGGGGAAGAATATTAAGGAGATAAAATTTATCTAGAGTAGGTGACATTTACTAGGGACAGATATCCTTGCTGTCCTGATCAATTGGTTTACTGTTACTTACATGGAGATTTTTGTATTTTCAGCTACATTGTGACATTATGGAATGATTTTGCATTTTATAGAAAAGGGGGGTTTTACCTTTTGAAGATGATTTGTCCTTCATGTTGTAGATCATTTAATTTGGTGAGCCAAGAAAAGCTTAAAAAAAAAAACTAGTGTCTATAACATTATTAAAAACATTTTACATGTTTATTTTTTCTGACTCTGTGGAAAGCCATTATAAGGGCTGAAGATCTATTTCTAGAAAGAATTGAAGTGCAGCTACTATCTTACTCTACATAATTTTAAAGTTAACATTTGAAAATTACTTTAAACTTGTAATAACAGTAGAAAAATAATTATATATAAAGTTCATATATATCTTTGTCCTATGTGTGATCACTTCACCATAAATATAGCTTCATTATTATTCCTGTCAAATGGCTGTGAGAATGGAGTTAATTAATTAGCAAGCACCATTATCAGAGATCTATGCCCTGTGTATTAGCCCTGTGAAGACTTGTGCTGATATTCTCAGAGATTAAAAGAAGAAATTCAATCACACTTTAACAGGGTGATATTCTGTGGAAGAAAGTGACTAGTTGACGAGGGGCTAGAATGATCTTAGAATTTAGGTACTATTTATGACAGTGGAGTCTAAAAAAAACAAATAAAATTTATTTTTGAGGGGGATAAAAAGGGGTAGGAGTCTGGCCCAAAGAGCAGGAAGCTAGGCTCATTGCCTATAATGTGTCTCTGGTGAAACTGTTCAAGCTGTTCAGATATGTTACAAGGAAGTATGCTAATACAGTTCTGAAATGTTTGTATATATATTGATAAACAAACCACAAAAAGTTCAGAGGTTCATGGCGTCTGGAAGCTTTCCTGACTCTCATCTGAACAACCCTAAGTACAAAGCCTGAATAAATTCTTATGCAAACTTTCTCATGGGATTTCAAAGCCTTCGTTCCTTCTTCTGAGATAGAAAACGGGAAGCATCACTTCTGTTTCTGTTTAGAAACAGGAAGTGACATTTTGATACTTGAGAAATAATCATCCTGGTTGGACTTTTGGTGGGGAGCTGGTCAGTTTCTTAGCTCATCTTCTTACTCTATATGAACTCTACTCATAGTTTCCAATGTGTTGTGTTTTGAGAAGGGAGGATCATTCCAGGTCATGTCTGTTTTTCACAATGCTATGCAAGAAGCTAAGAATTTTCTCACAAGAGCAGACCCATAGGCCTGACAGAATTATCCATTGATGTGCTATAGAAGCACATGCTGGTGCTCTTTGAGGTCAATTTCAAAGGCTAGTTTTCAGATTTTTAGATTTATCCCAAAACACATATTTTCCCTACTCACCATTTTGGTCCATTGATTTAAAAATCAAGCTATTTTTAGTTTATTTAGAGAGTGTTGTCACCTCTTGGGCAATTCTTAAGTGTTCCACAAGCTTCCTATTCACCCTAAGCAATGGCTTCTTCTTAGTCCTAAATTCTCTCAGTCTTCAAGGAATGGCCTCCGTTGGAGCATTCTGGAATTCAGTTATTTTTTTTTCTTTTTTTTGTGATTTTGAAAATATCAATAATTCCTTCATTTTAGTTTTTCGAGACTGGTAGTTCTTAACCTGTGTTTGTCATTACCTCCTTTGGCAATCTGGTGATACCTTTGGACTCCACTGCTCAGAATACTCTGAATGCCTAAAATAAAATACATAGAATTATAAATGAAGCCAATTATGTTGAAATATAGTTATCATAATATTTAATAATTTTACATGCTCCACATTATGAACCTATGTTTTAGATAAACTATTCAAATATCTCAATTATCCACTCAAATTATACCATCCTCTCCTGATTCCATTCATCAATTTGCTTGTCCTTTGTAAATCTTCTTCACCTACTTCATTCCTTTTTTGAGGTGAACAAAATTGCAAATGGAAGTACTATGATTTTATTGGATAAGACAAGATTTGCTGTTTTATTTCCATTACTCTAGTATTTTATTAGTCTTTTTGGTTATAGAAATACAATGGGCTTAGTTTTTCAAGAAATTGTCTATAATTACTCACATTTCTTTCTCAAAAATTCTAACTAAACAGTTTCAAGTCCATCATATTTTGGTGGAGTTTGGATTACTTTTTACTAAGTACGTTTTTTTTTTATAATCCACATTAAGAATGATCTACCCCTTTTCTGTCTTGAAAGAATTTTCTGAAATTTGTCAATGCCTTGGCATTTCACTGCCCTTAAAAAAGTTGATATCACTTGAGGATATTGAATTTTACCATAGACAAAATGCTATGAATCTGTCAGCTATTATTCTTTTTGTGTTATGCAGCATTTTAATAACAGTATTACATATTTGATTTTGCCTTTAAGTGGAGGTGGTTTGATCATTGTTTCTCTTGAAGAAAATCTAACTGCCAACCCAAACTGACTCTTGAAACTAAAGAGCCTACATATGTGTGCATGTATATATGTGTGTGCAATCATAACTGAATATCTCAAATACATTCCTTTATATGTAATATCTTGTTTCTTATATTAAAGGCATGGGTTGACTTTATTTGTTAGTTTTGTTTGTTTTTTTTAAAGGATAGGCTATAAACTCGATGCACATAAAAATAAAATATGTTCAAATTGTGGGAAAATGATTTCTTTTTGAATCTATGAACACATGAAATATGGAAAATAGATGGTCAATTCTGGTAGTCTTCACCTGATCTTTTGTAGAATAAGTCAAGAGACTATAATTCTAGTAGTCTCAAATTAGATAGCTTTTAAGAAAAATTATTCATCAGTAGTATTGCTTTTTTAATGATCAGAAAATAATTCTGGTTGTAGTTATTGCTGCTTATAAAAAAGGCAATTTTAGTTTAATTTTTTAAAGTTAATTAGCAGAATACTCCTCATTCTTTATGTTAAGAACAGAATATTTATTACTTCATTAGCCATATATATTATGTACTATCAGAACCATATATATTATATATTATCAGAACCTATTATATACTTTTCATTATAATTCATTAATAGAATATTTTGTTACAAAATGTTATTCAACATTTTAGTTGTTAATAGTTTTTAAATGTATATATTTCATCTATTACTAGAATTTTAGGGGTGGTATGGTCTAGCCTAAGGTTTTCCAAACTTCATCTGTTGTTTTTCAAGTCTTATATTTCTAACATCTGATGGAATGTTGGGGGAGAATTTGATGGTCAGGTGGCAGACACATTCTGTGTGATTACACAGGCTTTAAAGGTAACACTGCTTATACCTGGGAAAAAAAACCTGAGATCCAGAAGTAGATAAGTTTTGCAAAAAGAGCCCCTGGAGGAAAGTTTGATGACAATTTTTAGCTATACAAGTGATTCCTTATGGTTTTAGTTGGCACTGGATTTATCTCTCTGTTTCTCTCTCTCTCTCTCTCTCTCTCTCTCTCTCTCTCTCTCTCTCTCTTCTCCCTTTCTCAAATTCATTCAATCAATTCAATCAAAAGATATTTACTGTCAGCTGCTTGTTCAGAAACCACTAGGGAAGTATAAGACACAGTGATATTGTCTCTGTTCTAATGGATAGTTTATGGTGTAATCAGAGGGATATGACATACTATACAGAGAAAACTATAAGAAAAGGTAGAATGGGAAAGCATGGCCAAAGAAGTAAGAGAAAAATAATATGGAGGGATTTTCCCATTGATAAAATGAACATAATGGTATTGCGTATAACAACAACAACAATAATATTTACAAAATGCTTTACATATGTTAACTCACTTGAGCCTCATAACAATGCTGTGGTACAGTTATCATCTCTATTTTACAGAGAAGAAAACTAAGGCATAGAGAAGTTGAGTGATTTGCCCAGGGTTACACAGCTAGTTATTACCTGAAATAAGATTTGAACACAGGACTTCCTGACTTCAAGGCCTATATTCTCTCCATTGTGCCATTTGACTACCAAAGAGAATATACCTTATTTTCTCCTCTTAGTTTCATCTGTGTTCAAATTAAAATACCATCTCCTTGGGGTATAAGATTGGAGAACAGATTCAAAGCATTTAGTCTGCTTAAAAAAAGAATATTTAGAGGCAATGAACTAGCTTTCATTCATCATTAAGTCAATACTACTGAGTAAATGGCATAGCTAGAATCATGTCCCTTCATAATTCATTTTCTAGCACCATTACAGTAGCTTGTGCTGCCTTGCAGGTGCCCAATAAATAGTAACTTTATGAATGAATGAAATTATATAATAAAATAATAGACTGCTACATCTTTACTGCAGAGATGTGGAAAATACATTGGCATATAACTTTAATTTCTACAGAGCAGAAATCAGTAAAGGATGGGACTATTTGGCATGGTAGCCAAAGGGTTTAATTACTGAAGTGCCACAATTATCTCACAATAAGATAATCTTTGCTAGAATATAGTCTTTTGAGGTCAGTTTAATGATGAGAGTACAGTATACTAGGAAATAATATGAGTTGAATCTGAAATGTATTCTCAAACAAGGGGTATCAATTATGTAATAATATTTTGCTATGAACTCATTTCCCTATAGCATAATAAGTATTTAGACCCCATATACATGGCATTATGTGCAAAGTGTTGTTCCAGTCCCCTGGGGCTTAAGAGTCAAACCTGACATATTAGATAAGCCATGAAACAAGGGAAGGAGAAATATATTATCAATTGAAATGAGACACAGAATTCTTGAATTATAAGTCTTTAACAGCCCTACAATAACCCAGACAATGTTCACAGTGGCTTTAGGAGAATCCCTATTGGAAGGAATAAATTTTGACTTCTTTTGTAAAAGAGTTAGAAATAAATGAATAGTAGCCACCTTTAAAGTACTAAGATGATGTTATTTACACTAAAAAAGCTCTTCAGCAAATACAAACAGTTGCTTCTTCATATCAATGTCTGTAACACTCCAGACTAGCTTATTAGCCACATTCTTGCATTTTTTGCTTACTTTCTCTGAATTTACCACCTATTTTACAAGCCCTACATTTATGCTCTCACCTTTAATTATGTCTTTAATGACCTATAATTTAGTTTCAGCCAGCTTTTCACTATTGGATTCTTACCACAATGTCACAAAGAGTTTTTCCTTGCTAACTTTGCTTCCTCAGTAACTCAGAGATTTAATGATCCCAGAGATTTAAATTGTCTCTAATCTCAGAGTTAAGGGGGAAAAAATGGTCCTTCTCTGTGCTTACTTTTCTACTGCTCTTGCAACAGATGAATTCCCAGGATGACCCCACCTTTTCCTCTGCTAACATTTACTTAATCTATTGATAGCAATTCTGTATAGACAGCTTCCTTGACTTCCCCTTTTGTGATTACCCCAAACTACCAACTACTTTTCTTTCAAACTCCTTTAAGGTATTTAAAGTCTTCTTAACCTCAACCTTGTTGCACATTATACTTTACGCAAATCATATTCCATCTCTGGGCTCCAGTTCTTTGAATTGCCAATCCCTCCTAACCTGTCTCTCATAATTCCTAATACTCCTCAAGGATCAGCTTAAGCCCCACCTTCAACTTCCCTGATCTGTCCAGATGTTAGTGCCCTCGCCCAAATCATCCTGTATTTGTTCTTTATCTTTTTTTCTGCATATATTTGTATACACACACATTTTCATGGCTGGACAAATTGTAAGCTCCTTGAGGTCATAGACTATTTTCATTTTTGTCTTCATATCCTTCATGTGCCTTACATAGTTCCTGGAATATAGATAGCCCTTGATGAATTCATGCTGATGTTATCTTATCAATAAAAAGACCATTCATTGATAATTTATCTGTGAAAGAGTTCTTCCAAACTTGAAAAGCAATAGTATAAAATGGATAACATAATGGATTTCTTCTCCTTGGTCACTGGTTTGTTATTTTCCTGAATGTTCTCATAATATATTGTTTCAATAGAAATAAATATGAGTATATGAAGCTTTGGTATATTGATAATGTTAGTAAAACTAACACCAACGCTGTCTCCCAGGATCAGATATCTGTCTATTTTTTTTTCCCTGAAAAAGATTTCCTTACAGTATTACAAGTGTAAAAAAAAACCACCTTTTACATCTCTCACTACACAAGTTTACTTCACTCTGTCCCCTTTATCCTCAAACATTTTTATAGCCTCTATTGGTGATTTTTTTAAGGCAGCTAGGTGGCACAGTGGATAGAAAGCCAATCTTGGATTTAGGAAGACTCATCTTCCTGAGTTCAAATCTGACCTCAGACACTTACTAGCTATGTGACCTATGTAAGTCACTTAACCCTGTTTGCCTCAATTTTGTCATCTGTAAAATGAGCTGGAAAAGGACATGGCAAACCACTCTGGTATCTTTATCAAGAAAACCCCAAATGAGGTCATGAAGAGTCAAACATGACTGAACAACAACAGTTGGTGATCTCAAGATATAAGCTAAAAATGATATGATTAAAAACCCACGAAGCACTAGTTTCACTAAGTAGATTAGAAGTAATACAAGCTTGCCTTTTATGTAGTGCTTTTTGCCTTCTAAAATAATATCAACTTATATTTGGGGGGGGGAGTGATTGATTTGGACCTGGAATTTCCTCAGAGTAGGTAACTCCCAGTGTGGAAACTCCCTCTACTGATGCAAATTGGCAACTCAGTTTTAAGGTTTTATAGGGCACTGAGAGGTTATGACTTGCTCAAGGTCACATAACCAATGAGGTTAGTATCTGACAGAGGCAGGCCTTGTATTCAGGTCTTTAATTAGGGTTTTTCTCACTCTAAAGCTAGGTATCTGCTCTGTCATGCTGAATATCAGGTATACATGTACATGAGAAGATATATTTCGGAACAGGTTTTATGGTCAGTATATACCTCTCTATGATCACATTTGTCCCTAGGTCTGATATTATTCTCCTCCTTTTACAGATGGGAATACTGAGTCCCTGAGAAGTTAATGTGAATTGATCATGCTCATTATAGCTCATAACACAACACTGAAAAGCATTTCTTATCCTGACAGGACCCTCTTTCTACCAGATTGCAGTGCCTATCTACAGGTCATTACTTTATCAAAATATTAAGTATACATTTTTAGAAAAGTTTTCAACGAATACTTTCTGTGTAAGGGGTTCAAAGTGAAAAAAAAAAGTCGTCGAAGAATTTATTTTTAACCAGCTTCCTTTAACTTTCTCCAACCTTAATCAAACAGAGAAAAATCTGACAATGAGTAATATAACCTGTGCTTGGTTATGTTTTGAGAAATGAACAATTAATCTCTGTTTTGCCCTCACCTATCCACTGTGATAGGAGTATGCAATTTTACTCACAACTCCTCAATGATATCTTCCTATTGTCATTAGCCATTGAGTGCATGACATTGTTTTAAGCACCACTGACTTATAAAATAAGGAGAAGAAACAGTTCTGCCTAGATATGTGAGAGCTTAATGTGGCTTGCATATATTCTTCACATATAAAGCAAAGGAGTCATTTGAACACTGTTTTAAAATTCTATTCAGTCTTCATGGTGTAATGCATTTTTGCAGAACTTATATACCTCTAAGAACAAATTGATTGAATGCCCATGAATATTTTCCCAAAGCTTTAAACAACTGATATTTTATCAGATAAAATATTTCACTAGCATAGATTGCCATCCACAACAATTGAATATTATTTTTACCATTCTTTAAAGAAACATATACAAGAGTCCAAGATTCCATTGGTTTTATTCTTCCCAGCTCTAAGATGTAAAGTTTTTAATAGGACCATTATAGTGACCATGCTTTTAAATTTTCTGTCAATTCTTTGAGGATGAGAAATATTTTGTTATGTAAAAGCAAGTTATAGTAGTAGTTGATTAGACCATATTACTTTAAAAATAGGACAATATTTTACCTACAATATATTAAACCATTTTATGTTTGAGAAGGGGGAAATTGGTTTCAAATGTGGTTTTATTGCTTGCTAATTTAATTAAAATAAATGCACAAATAAGCTAACATTGTTAGCAGATAAAAAGATACACCCTGAAGGACTCTGACATCAATAATAGTAAGCAGGTATTCTTCCTCTTTTCTCTCCTACAAGCAAATTCCATGTTCCCTAAAAGAATGCCAACAGTTGGCAAATGGCCAAACATCTTCTCCGATCACATGCCTAATTTTCCTGTTGTGAGCATTATTCCCAAGCCCATACTGGTGCTTATTCGAGGGCAGTAAAATTAAAGTCCTTTCAGCTCCTACCTGCCAAGGATAGGACTTCAAAGGATTGCTCAAATCTACAGGATAGACACACCGATAATCAGATTAAGAGAACCATTCCTTTCGTTCATTAGCAGAGATCTGTTCAACCAAGACTGAAGGTTTGGGGTAGGGTGGGGAGGATGTATTTATTTTTCCTACCAGAAATAGAGAGAGGAAAACTCTACTTCCCCTCCCAATTCCTGTCTTACTCCTTCAGTTCCTTAGTTCACAGCAGACAATAGAAGCCCATACAGACCCTTTCCCTGAGCTCCTCTCCTCTCTCCCCCACCTCCCTCCTCTTCCTCCTCCTCCTTGCTACTATCTCATACTGGTTTTCTAACTCCGGCTGCAGGCACAGATTTGTCAGAACCATTCAGTTGAGACTGATTATGATTGCAGCAGATGGGCTGGATTTGACAGCCCCGATCCTAAGCAGTTTCTTATGGGGGAGCTGGGGACAGGAGGGGAGGGGAAGGGGGTAGGGGGCGGGAATTAATGGGCCGGAGTCACAGAGCAGGATCACACACAGAGCATCCCCAGACGGGAGCTCTCTTGATCTGCTCTTTAAGCTCCCCTCCCCAAGGAAAGTGGCACCTCAAAGCCGAGTGGCCCTCCCCAAACACATGTTAAACGTCCCACAGCCTGAGAGGGAGAGGAGAAGGGGTGGGGGGAGAGAAAAAAAAAAGAGCCAGTGAAGCACAACAAAGCGGAAGAGGCGAGAGGGAGCGAGAGAGAGTGAGAGGTTTCCCTGTCTGCGGTGGCGGCGGAGCTAGCGAGGGGGGCTAGGGCCGAGCCAGGCTGGGCAGCTGCTGCCAGGGCTCGCTCAGGCTGCCGCCGCCGCCGCCTCCTCCGCCGCCGCTGCCGCTTGCGGCCGTGCGCTCTGGACATGGGAAGTTTGGCAACTCCCGACTCTCCAGCCAGCGCCTCGCCTCCCCAGACTTTATAGGATTGCAGAGTCTGCCCCCGGCGGGGAAGCTCCCCCACTCCACTCCCGTCTTCAAAATGTTTCAGCACAGGCCAGGTAAGGAGCTAGACCCTTGTCCCTCTACCTTCCTCCATCCTACCTAAGGCTCTCTCCCCCTTCCTCTCTGCCCCTCAACCCTCCATCTTCCTTCCTTCTCTCCCTTCTGGCCTGTGGCCTTCCTCTCCTTTCCGCCGGACCCCTCCTCGTCGGTCCCCGCGTCCTCTCTTGCCCCCATCCCTTGATCCCTTTCGTTCCCACTTTTCTTTGCAGAGTTCCCTCCCCTCCCTCCTTTTTTTCCTCCCCTCCTCCCTTTCTCTCTCGTCTCTCCTCCTTCCCTCACTGTCTAAGATCGTCTCATCTCCACTCCATCTACCGGCGCAAGACTCCTTTCCCTCTTACCACGGAAGGGGGAGAAGTTGAGAGATGGCCTGAGGTCCCCAGTCGTTGCCTTAGGGATTTGAGGGTCGTGATGGCCGTGTGTGTGTGTGTGTGTGTGTGTGTGTGTGTGTGTGTGTGTGTGTGTGTGTGTTTGTTTCTCCCAAGACCGCACTCCAGGGAGCCGTTTCCTTCTCTGCCCAGGCAGCAGTTGCCCTTCCCCCGTCCTCCACCTGTGGGTCTTTGCTTTGACACAGGAAACCTGCTAAAAATCCAGAAACACAAATGGAAACAAACAGGCACGTGTCTCTGTGTTGTGTGTGTGTGCGTGTGTGTGTGTGTGTGTGTGTGTGCACGTGTGTGTGCACGTGTGTGTGTGTGTGTGTGTGTGTGTGTGTGTGTGCACTCACACATCAGCCTTCACTCACAGGGCACATCACACAACAGAAAGGGGGAGGGGAGGAGAGTCAGATCCTCAGCCTGGGGGATAGAGAAAGAACTCCCCAGGTGACGCTGGTGCCACCCAAGCAAAGCAGTGGGCTGCTCCTTCCCCTTGGCATTGCCCTTGTTTTATGAGGACTTTAGATAATGGGGAGTAGAGGAGATGGAGAGCAAGGAGACTTGACTGACTGTGGTTGGAAGGAGGTCCAGAGCGCACTGTGGAGTAAAGGACTTGGGACTCCCTGCCCAGATGCTGAAGGACCTGCTGCATCTAATCTATTCCTTGTAATACGCACCTCCTGCACCCTCACTTTCCCCATTGGCCCGCCACTTCCTGGGCGCTACTCTCTGCCGCCCCCCACCCCAGGCCTTCCTCTCCTACTCCTACTCCCCTCCCCATCCCATCATGAGTGTGTGTCCTGTTGCTACTGGCAACCGCATGTACCGAATTGCTCTGCACCCCTAAGCAGCTTAATGCTGATTGATGGCCCAGAAATATGATCTTTTTCTTTTCTTTCTTTCTTTCTTTCTTTTTCTTTCTTTCTTTCTCTTTCTTTCTTTCTTTCTTTCTTTCTTTCTTTCTTTCTTTCTTTCTTTCTTTCTTTCTTTCTTTCTTTTTTTGAGAGAGAGAGAGAGAGAGAGAGAGAGAGAGAGAGAGAGAGAGAGAGAGAGAGAGAGAGAGAGAGAGAACCAGGAGCAGTCTGTGTACTGGCCTCCCTGCTGAGGAGTGATAGAGACCTCCGTGGTAGCCCACTAGCTTTCCCACCTCCTGCCCCTCAGTTTTATTCCTCCCCCATTCCTTTTTATGGGGAGAAGGGACCGATTAGAATATTTTAATATATCAGATTAAACCTAATGCCCTCGTTTGTTATTTTACTATTTTCTCTCTCAGTGACAGTCTGTAGCCCCTGAGCTTCCTTTCCTACTCTCGATCATAACTGCTTCTGTTGAGTCAGATAAATGTGGCTTTTCCTCACCCCACTCTTTTTCTTTCTCCCCCCACCCCTTCTTTCTCTTCCCCTTATAATTTGACTTTTGTGTTTCTGATTGCCTGGTTACTGAAACAGATTTACTCTTTACTGACCCAGAAAAAAATGTTCAACCTTTCTGGAAACTATTTTCCAGAAATAAAGTCATTGCAAAAAATATACTATTTTCTGTCCTTTGCCCCCCCCATTCCTTTACTCTGATTAGTAACTTCTTTTTTCAGTCCTTCCCCAGACCCCCATGAGGTGTACAATTCATGTAAGAAGATGCTTGGTGAAAATGCTAAGTGTCCTGATGATTTTTTCTCCCTTGATTTTTGTGTATGCTGTCCTCCCCTCCTTATCTTTTGAAGTGGGATTCATGTTTAAGCTATAATGACAAAAGCAACCCTCCCCCAATCCATAGCAGTTTAGGAACCATTGCTACTTTTGGAAAACCTCAAGTACAGACTTTTTAAAACTGGTAAGAAGAATCATGTTGTGAATCTTCCTCTCCTCCTCCCCCAACTACTCTACTATCTGTCAGTCATATAAACTAACCTGCCAAGTTCTTTCTGCTTTGGGAAAGAACTTGGAAAATCATATTGGTAAACATGTTAATCCCATGCATAGCGTCTGGATCAGCCAAGGTATCTTGCTTTCTTCTGTTAAAAAAATATAATACAGAATCCACAAAACACAGATTATTTTGTGATCATTCCTATTTAACCAAAAAGAAAAGGGGCAGGGGTGGGAACAAAGAATATGGTTTTCTGAAGCAGATTATGAGACAGTTTGAGGAATGTAGCTGGGAATAAGTTACTGAACAGGCATGTAAAAGATACATTATCAGGAAAGCATCATGGGCAGAGATGGCATCCACAGAAGACCAACAGTGATCCAGAAAGCTTTCCTATATTTATAAATTACTGCATCAAGTTGAGGTCCCCTGCCCCAGTGTACAATAGAGATATCTGGCATCAGTGACACTGACATGGTATAAAACATTATACTGAAGATGCTATGAACCCTGGCAAATGAAACAAAATGAGTAGGCCATGGAATATTTGTTTTTAGTCACAAGGCCTTCTTGTGGAATTTGCAAAGCAGGATACATAGAATTTGAAAAATGTAGCAATTTTCAGTACTTCATAGATTAAAAAATGAGAGGATGCACTGTCTATGAGATACAATTAAGAAAGACATGGTGAGGATAATTTTTCTCCATTACATCAAAAATAGGACATCTCTCTTATTTGACAGGATCTCATAAAAGGGTAGATGCTTCCTCTTTAGAAAAAGAATCTATAGAAGGCCTTCCCATAGCTTTACTTTTCTTCTGTTCGGTTCTTCAGCATGCATGCATTTCAGCGCCTTCCTTGGCTCCCACAGCTGTGAAGACCACGCTTGGCTTTACTTTCCAAATGATTTGCAGAATACCAGCTGATGATTATAAATTTTGGTTCATAAATGAGGGTTAGGGAGTATGGAGTGGAATACTAATACCCTTGTTTGATATTTTGAAAAGTTTACTAAAGGAGTTTTACAGAAAGATAGCATTTCAGAGGAAAGTGATTTACACCATGAGAGATGGCTATATGCATTGCTAGATTATAGATAAGCTGTAAAAGTAAACATAGGGACTTGATCTGTTATTGTGGGAGACTATGGAGCTATGGAGGGACCTCTCCACTGCTTCATACCATTAGGCAATGTGGGAAATTTTGGTGCTGTAGTTTTTCTTTGTTGTCTTTTTTGCTTGGCAGAAGTTTACTTAAGTCATTGAACTTTACTTTGAGACTTCATATTTGCTAACTGGTTTGTTTTCACTTATTGCTAGGCTTAGGAGAAAGGACTAGTGTCAAATCCATGAAAATATATTTGAGCAGTCAGATGTGGTCAGAAGATTGCAAAGGGGTCTCTGCAACAACCTCCCTTCTTCTTAGAGGCAGCTAGGTCACCCAATAAATAGATCACTGAGCTTGGATTCAGGGAAACCTGAATTCAAATTCAGCCTCAGACACATACTAGCTGTGCAAGCCTGGGCACTCACTTAACCTCTGTTTTTCTCAGTTTCATCAATTGTAAATGGGAATAATAAAAGTACCCACCTCCAAAAGTTGTTGTAAGGATCAAATGAGATAATAATTGTAAAGTGCTTAGCACTGGCGTATAGTAAGTGGTATATAAAGATATCTATTATTATTAGTTCTTCTTCCTCCTACTTTTCCTCTTCTTTTTTTCTTCTCCTTCTCCTTCTCTTTTTCCTCTTCCTCCCCTTCCTCCTTTTCTATAGGGTAATAATTCTCTGGAGGGAAGATTTCTTGGCAAATCACATAGTAGCTATCGTGGTTAGTCAGTGGCACAGATGTATCTGCTAGACCCAGGAGTGTACCTTGGTTTTCAAGATGCCTACTCTAGGTTCTACCATATGGACAACATGTCCCATTCTTCTCATTTTCCCTCTGCTGTGATCCTTAGAAGAAGAGACACTTTCTGGGTTTCATAGTGTCCCTGAAAGTTAATGTTGCATCAGTAAAAGCCAGTGAACTCTGTTTAATTATAATATAATATAATTATAATAGTTCAATCCTGTGAAGCAGATGATGAAACATACCTTCTAACTCGCAAAAGAGAGGTGGAGGAATATAGGAGTAGAATGTCACATGCTATCAAATTTGGTTACTGTGTTTATTGTTTTCCAATAACTTTTTCACTGTTAAGAGGACTAAATGGGAGAGGGTACATTAAAAAATGAATAATATAAAAACAAAGACATCAATAAAAAGCTTTTTTTTTGTTTTTGTATTTTGATAGGCTATGGGGTTAAGTGTCTTGCCCAGGGTCACACAGCTAGTGAGTGTTAAGTGTCTAAGGCTGGATTTGAACTCAGGTCCTCCTGACTCCAGGGCCGGTGCTCCATTTGCTGCACCACCTAGCTGCCCCCAAAAGCTATTTTATTTAAAAAAAACCTAATTAGAGAAGGAAAAACTCAATTATATATTGAAGGCTTCATTCTTCCCTTGATTGAGATTTCCCAGTTTCCTTTCATGCCTGTAAAACAATCTTCCTATCCTCTCTATAATTTTTCCCTTGCCCTTCATATTCAGAATAACCAAAAGATAAAACAATGACAAAAATGCTTATAAATGAGTAATTGCAAGAAAAAAAGCCAACACAAATATATGTAAAGAATTCCATATTGCCTCCAGCAGAAATGGCAAATGTTGAGATTAGTCTTTCCACATTTGTGAAAAATCATGACCTAGTTTAAGGAGAACTAGGCCTTTCTCTATCTATCCAGGGGGTAGAATGGGATCCCAGAGGATAGTTTAGGACTATCCCCTTTTCAAGATTCTTCATTAGGGCGTCTAAATCTAAGTTGTCACCATTAAACTGTTTCTTGATCATTGATGGTTAAATTCAATTCAGTTCAATAAGCTTTTATTGAATGCCTACTATGTAGAAGGCATGGTGTTAGGGGCTTGGAGATAGAAATTTAAAAAAAAAAACAACCTGTCCCTTTGCTTGAGGAATTTATAGTACTCCAGGGGAGACAAGTTAGATAGGAGTAAATAAATACAAAGTAACTTGTCTTTGTATCCCCCCCATTGCTCAGCACAATCCTTTACACATGTTAGCTACTTAATAAGGGCCTTCTTGGTGGATTAGATTGTACTATAGCATAATGAAAAGCTTCCTATAGGCAATGGTATCTGAGCTAAGCTTGGATGGCTAAATGCAGCATCCTAACAGACATCTTCTTAGCTGCATATGGTAAGGGTCATTATGAAAAGGGATGAGGGCTAAGAAAAAGGCCATTAGACTTATCAGTAAAGAGATATTTGGTAATAATGGGGAAAATCAGTTTTCAAAGATAGGTCAAGTTAGAAATCAGATCATAAGGGCTTGAGAAATGATGGGCAA